AGAAATCAATCTACATATAAAATATTGGTCACAGATTATTGGTCACTTTCTAAATAATAAAAGTATAGCGCATCCACTAGTAATTATATATTAATAAATCGTTTTTTACCGATGCAAATATGGTAGAAACAATGCATTGCGATATAAATGCCGATTTGTAGCCAATGCACACTTTTTAAACCGATGCATCGCATCGTTAACTTTTTATGCCGATGCACCGAGCGAATCGGGGAATCTTCCCATCCCTGACACACACACACACACACACACACACACTCAAACAACACGAGGGCTGTAGATGAGCTAAACGCTGTGCTGTGTTGATCAGATGTTGGGTGTTCACGGCTCCAGTGATCAGTGTCCCGGTGAGAACTCGCGGACGCTGGCGCGGATCGTCTGTGCCACAGTACTGGCAGGAGAGCTCTCTCTGATGGCCGCTCTCGCCGCCGGACACCTCGTCAAGAGTCACATGACTCACAACAGGTACAACACACACCTGCATCTGTAACTGCGCTTCTCAGCTCTCTCCAGATCCCTGATCAAACTCACTTGCCTGTAACTCCAGTTATCATGAAGACCTTAATTAGCTTGTTCAGGTCTTTCAATCTTTCATTTCTAGAAACACAAACGACTTTTACTTCTTTTTTATATACTATATATTTGTGACCATTAAAGTTATCTTTTTAATTAATAAGTCTCATATCAGAAACAAGATTTATTTTTAAATACAAAATAATATATATATATAATATTAAATATTTTAAATAGTTTTTTTCTCTAATTGTCTAATACATTGCTATTCAACTTTATACTGTGTAAAAAAAAAAATATATATATATTATTTTTTATACATCACATGATTTTACATTCTTTTAAAATTGCCTAATATTACAAATATTGTTCAATTTATAGCATTAATATATTTATTAATAACAATCTGATTACATTACATTGATGTTTGAAGATATTTTTTTTATTCTATACATCCATGACCATAAGTGTTTTCTTTTTAATTAGCAATCAGTCTTGTATCAAAAACAAAATCTGTTTAAACACAAATATTATAAATATTTAATATTTGAACTAATATAGTAAACATTGTTTTCCCCTTATTGCTTATTAAAATTAATTCAATTTATAGAATATTTTATATATATATTAACATCATTATACATGGTTTCTTTCCAAATTGCCTAGTAATATTACAAATATTATTTAATTTATAGTATTAATATAAATATATATATATATATATATATATATATATATATATGTGTGAATTACAATATGATATTTAATTATATTGTTTTGTTTAGATACTGAAGTGCTTTTACTCTCTCTAACAGGTCAAAAGCCAATCTACGAGAGACTGAACTGAGAGACTGAACTGCAGCCGAAGGAAGCTTCATGAAGCACAGAGAACTCTGGGAAACGGAGTCTGTGTGGTTCTCATGTTTATTCTCAGGGCGTCTGAAGACACGGCTGCAGGAGTGACAGATGTCTGGAGGAGTTCTCTTCTGTCAAGCAGCTGGGAAATACTAATGCTTGACGTTTTGTAAGGCGACTGCACGAGTAAATGAGCGAGACGCTCCTGCGTTTCACTGAATCTGTGTCCGTTTAGTCTTGCACTAAAATCCAAAAAAGATTTGTCAAGACCTGGTACAAGCTGAAGTCAAAACACAGCAGAGTTTTTATCACTTGATGGTAAAAATTCCAGAAAATGGGACATGAAAACAGGCTTTTTTTGCACACTGGCGGACAGTTTCTAGATTAAATCATGATCTCAGATCAGAGTTTGATGGGGGATTTTTCAGTTTGGATCTTCAGGTTATGAATGAATGTATTTAATTCATGTGTTCGGTTAATCACGCCAAACTCACTGTGACAAACTCCACTGACGGACCTTATAAACGAGGTGCTCCTGTACTTTAATAATAGTAATTTGAGTTTATGAATCTGAGTGTGAATGTGGATGTTTGCACTATTTGTATTATGTGTGTTTCTAAAGAAATGGGTCTGATTGTTACGTTTCTGTTGCCACTGACTAAAGTGCTTCAGCTTTTCTCAACAAAAGCAAATCCTTTCACTTTCTGACAATAGAAAGTGCTGATGAAGCCATATCTTTGTCTTTTAAACTTGCTTTGTCTTGCTTATTTCCTGCTGAACCACTGATCAGATGAGCACATTTTTAAATTGTCAGTATTTTTGTTGAACTCTTAAATGCATTAAACTGGACAAATAAACATGAACAGAATATTAGCTGCATTCTGTGCAAAATATTTTTTTTAAACAAGAATAGCCTTCAAGCATAATTCAATTTGATTTAACTCAATGCACAGCCTGTTAAATTGTGGTCTCTTTAAATTTAGTCCTTATTTTGTCATGTCACATTAATAAAAAGGCTAAAATAGCATCTAATTTTTCAGTTGACAATGCAAATCAAGCCCAAGATTATTTATACATAGTATTTTTTGTTTTGAACAATTTAAGTCTTTGTAAAAACATGACATAAAACCAAGAATAAATGCATGTTTACTTTGCATTTTTGCTTTAACATATCCGAGGTTCACTTCTACTGTATAAAGTTGGTTTTTCGCAAATTGTATTGGAATTGGAACCAGTGGTTCGAAGCGCTTATCACACTGCAAAAGTCACGCGATTTCATTAAACGAGGCTTAGTTCCATCACAACCGTTTAGAAATATTCTGACATTTTAATGGTATAGAGGTCTGTTTTTTGGAGCTCAATTACACAAATGCTTTTTAATAGTAAGGAGGACTTTTATGCTATGAAATTTGCAGAATGTTTTAATGGTACAAAGACTTAGTATGTCAAAATATCAAGAAAATGTGATTTTTTTCATGTCATGACACCTTTAAAACCGGCAGTTTTATACAAGTAAGCACGCAGAATGGGGCGGGGCTACACACATCGCTCCGCCCACAATGCATTTAATTGGTTATTGGCAAAGTACTCAATAATAGACTGTGTAACTGTGACAATTTACATGTTTAACAACAAATGAAATATTACAAACAAGCAAATGTATTATAAATCAATAATATAGACTTTACACAATCTATCTTGAGGCTGAATGCGAAAAATTATTATTTGTGGTTTTCTAAAATGCCTGAATAAAACAGTATGCATTAACTGCACAAAGAAATGCAGGACACACGAGTCAGGGGTGCAGAAAGATGTCAATCATTTTATTTCTCTCTACACAGGGTGCCGCCCTCTATTCACAGTACATGTTCATCCTGACACCTTTAGTGTGACACTTCATTATGTACACGAAACATCTGAACCCAATGACATTACATTCAGTGCAAATGCAACTAATAACACACTAGACTATTAGACAGACGCGCGTCTCGGCCGCACACACAAGCAGAACGCCTCTCCTGATTGGCTGTTTCCACCGAAATCCCCTCCAATCAGCAAGCGGTCACCTCGGTGGGGAAATCAGGTGTACGTTTGGTAAAGTAACACATTCAGTGAGTGTCTGGAATGTTTACGTTGTTTTATAAATCTCATCTGGTGGAAACGTTACCGTAAATACTGGGATGTTGTGTTGTGCGCCCGCTCGACTCGTCATACAGCGTCTTTAACAGTCTATCATGGGAACAGTTGGCCAATGGAAATGTATAGCAAAAAATGTAAAAGCTCGTTTTGCAAAAAAATATTTTCTTGCTCAGTATTTATGTCTGAAAAAAAAAAATTTATTCAAAGAGAAAACAGGTTTTTTTTACCCCACTGACAGATATTTTTTCTTGTTTTAAGCATAAGCTTAGTTTTGATCAAGTCATTTTATTTACTGCAGATGCAAAATTAATGCAAACATTTTTCTGAAAATTAAATTAGAATTAAAACAATATTTGGCAGTGGGCTAAAAAAATTAATGTATTTTAAAGAGAAAAATATTTTTTAACCCATTGATACATATTATAAGCATAAAATTATTTTTATCCTTTTTTTCAGACTTAATATCTTAAGTCATTTTATTTACTGTAGATGCAAAACATCTGAAAACATGTTTCTGCTAAATGTATAAAAATTAAGTGAATTAATGCTTAAATCAGTGGGTCATTTTGCTTCTCAAGTACTTGTATCTTGATTTAAGAATTTCTAGATATTTTTACTGGGAAAAAAAATTCAAAAATACTGAGTAAGAACTTCATATTTTACCAGTTTGTGCCTTTTAAGATTGTTTACTAATGCTTGAGATTTAAATGTTCACTTTGGAAGAATAAATTCGATCAAGAAAAAATAAATAAAAGCAACTAATTCTACCTGATCTACAATTACATACGAGCTACGCCCCAAATTGAAACCGCATCTCCCTATTGGACAGAGAATTTGATTGGTGTCAGGGCTTCTCCAATAAGAAGACAACACATTCTAATATGAGGTAAGAAATCAATGTGAAATGATCTTTGTATAAACACTAAAGGACGCCAGGTTGGTTTGTGGCTGTAGTTTGGGCGGTACAATCAGCAAGATCAATAATGAGGCACTTTTTCTAGAAATGTTTGAGTCTGTACACACCTCTCAGTCACACACACTAAGGCATATGGAGTTGGATTAGTCAGGTAAAAGCGTCGACTGACGATCTGAAACAAAAATGAAATTATATACAAATAATGTGTACGCAACGTTCATTTGACATATTAAACATTTCTGCCGGTTACGATCGATCTGGAATTGTGCTGCAGTATATCAGCTGCTGAGAGACGGATATAATTAAATCGCCAAAGAAATGAAGCGTCTCCTCGTCAGCGGCAGATGCTGCACTTCATAAAAGAGACGGCCAACATCGAGACGAAAGGCAGGTTCATAGAGTTCACTCACAAACATGCCTTTGATTTCCCCCAAACAGCGATTATACGAGGACGATGAAAGCAAAGCTGAAATGTTTGTTCAAACAGGAAAATAACAGGACTAAAACAGAGCCGGTCTCGAGTGTTCAGCTTCAAAACTCTCCGTTATATATATATATATATATATATATATAAACTTCCCATCTCACTTACTTACATACATACATACATATATATTCATATCAATGTAGATCTCAGCCAGAAAACATGGGACAGACTTTGACGTTGGGCATCTCTAGTCCTCTGCCCGTGTGAGCTAGTGTGGCGCTACAGAACGGCATCAAGCGTCTACCGCCGGGCTTCCTGTGGCAGCGGGATTCAGAACAGTCTGGAGAAGAGACGCGATGAGTCTTCGGTGTCGCTAGAGGAGTGTGCGGGAACCAGAGGCGCTCATGCACACCGACAGCAGAACTGGGGAACTGCAAAGAACAATAAATAATAAAAACTAATTTCAGAATTATGATAATAATGCAGTAAGTATTTAACATATGTGACCCTGGAGCACAAAACCAGTCATAAGGGTCAATTTTTCGAAATTGAGATTTATACATCATCTGAAAGCTGAATAAAGAAGCTTTCCATTGATGTATGGTTTGTTAGGATAGGACAATATTTGGCTGAGATACAACTATTTGAAAATCTGGAATCTGAGGGTGCAAAAAAATCAAAATACTGAGAAAATCGCCTTTAAAGTTGTCCAAATGAAGTTCTTAAATGCATATTACTAATCAAAAATTCAGTTTTAATATATTTACAGTAGGAAATTTACAAAATATCTTAATGTAACATGATCTTTACTTAATATCCTAATAATTTTTGGCATAAAAGAAAAATCTATATTTACGGTAGGACATTTACAAAATATCTTCATGGAACATGATCTTTACTAAATATCCTAATGATTTTTGGCGTAAAAGAAATATCGATAATGTTGACCCATACAATGTATTGTTGGCTATTGCTACAAATATACCCCAGCGACTTAACACTGCTTTTGTGCTGCAGGGTCACATTTATAGCAAAATTAATAATAATAATAATAAATATGACAACTAATTAAAAACCTAATACAAATAATAATAATAAAAATTATATTATATATCAAATAATAATATATATTATTAAATATATAAGAACATAAATCGTAAAATACATAATAACAACAATGTAATAAATAAAATAAAAATATAACCGAAAATAATAAGGATATTTAAAGAAATGTAAAAGTCTGACTCTGGCTAACATCTTTTTCAGTACTGCTGTCATATAAACTCTGAAGGTCATCAGATGTAGTTTGGTGCACCTGGTGCTCAGAAGAGGATGGGTTTTCCCGCTGTTTTCTCCTGGACGTAGGAAGTGAAGCGCTTGAGGAATTTGGGATATTCTCTTTTCGCAACGGCCCTCAGGACAGACGCAGGAGCCCAGCCGCCGGGATTCACTGCAACCACAACAAACAAACTTATTTATATATTCATATATTAAATGTTAATATAGTTGTATCTTATGTAATTTAGTAGCTATTTTATGAAGATTATAGGTGAGAGGTTCCTCTAACCGTTGGCCACGTATGTGATTTTGCACAGGATGTTGTCTCTGCTGATCTCTTTGTCTCCCTCTGGTGGACTGACCAGCGTCTGGCAGATCATCGCAACATTGATTTTAGCACGAACGCATCTGTTGTTTGGCTACACCAGGACAAAAACAATGAAACATCATAAATGAAAATAATACAACTTTGTAATTTTTTCATCTTGAGAAAATAATCCTACTTGCTTACTGTATCATAGAATGTCTCCATAATATATATATATATATATATATACACACACTACCGGTCAAAAGTTTGGGATCAGTGAGACTTGTAATGTTTTTTAAAGAAGTCTCTTATGCTCATCAAGGATGCATTTATTTGATCAAAAATACAGAAAAAAAAACAGTAATTTTGCTAAATGTTATTACAATATAAAATAATGGTTTTTATTTTAATATACTTTAAAATATAATTTATTTCTGTGATGCAAAGCTGAATTTCCATCATCATTACTCCAGTACAAAGTGTCACATGATCCTTCAGAAATCATTCTAATATGCTGATTTATTATTAGAATTATCAAGCTGCATTTATTTGATCAAAAATACAGAAAAAAACAGTAATTTTGCAAAATGTTATTACAATATAAAATAATGGTTTCTATTTTAATATCCTTTAAAATATAATTTATTTCTGTGATGCAAAGCTGAATTTCCATCATCATTACTCCAGTACAAAGTGTCACATGATCCTTCAGAAATCATTCTAATATGCTGATTTATTATTAGAAGTATCAATGTTGGCAACAGTTGTGCTGACAAATATTTTTTTGGAAGCTGTGATACTTTTTTGCAGGATTCTTTGATGAATAAAAAGTTAAAAAGAACAGCATTTAAAAATATATATATAAATCTTTTCTAACAATATAAATCTTTGGTATCACTTCTTAACAATTTAACACATCCTTGCTAAATAAAAGTAAAAAAATTCTTTCAGAAAAAGAAAGAATAAAAATGTACTGACCCCAAACTTTTGAACTGTAGTGTATATTGTTAGAAAAGATTTCTATTTTAAATAAATGCTCTTCTTTTGAACTTTTTATTCATCAAAGAATCCTGAAAAAAAATCATAGGTTCACAAAAAATATTAAGCAGCTCAACAGTTTCCAGCACTGATAATAAATTATTCATTATTAGAATGATTTCTGAAGATCATGTGACACTGAAGACTGGAGCAATGATGCTGAAAATACAGCTTTG